ACCTTGCCTTCAAGACCGACCCCTTTTCGGCCTCTCCAGATGTTTAAGGGGGGAGCCAGAAGGACTCGCGTTTTCTCTCCTCCTCCCCCCCCGCCCCCGCCAGACAAACCCGGGAAGTGCCCCAGACGGCGACCTGTCAAGGGGATGATGCCCCGAGAGGCCGCTCTCGACACCTGCCGGCAGGACCAGGAGTGCGAGGGCTGGAAGAAGTGCTGCTTCACCGGCACCTCCATGGGCTGCCTCGACGTCCAGTAAGAAGAGGCGGCGCCCGCGGCTGCGGCTGGTAAGCCGGGGTGTGTGTGTGTCTCCGAACATCCTATGAACTTGGGGGGGGAGGCACAGTGGCTACCACGAAGACAGCAATGTGGGGGGGTTAGGGGGAACCCTGCCGGCCGATTGCACCGCAAATGCGGGCAGGCAGGCAGAAAAAGGGGTTGGGCAAATGACCCATGGGGCAACACAGGATTGCTGGTGGTGATGGAGGAGGAGGAGGAGGAGCGGAAAGAGGAGGAGAGGGTGCTTGACTTGCAAGGATCAGGGGCTGGCAAGGCAGGGCATTGGAGGGGGGCAGTGGCGTGGCATGGGTGGTCACCTGCCAACTCTGTGATGCAGCACGTGGGCAGGCAGGGTGGTGGCATGAAGCAGCCCCATAGCCCTTTGAGGTCCCCGCTGGTGGGGGTGGGCCCAGCGCCCCTGGCAGCTCAGACTCAGACTGCCAGGAGGGAGGCAAGGAGCAGCTGCAGGATTGCACCAGGCAGGGCTTTGAGCCCCTTAAAGATTTTGCACCCAGGGTCGTTGTCCCTGAGCCTTCTCCCCACCCCATGCGACCCCACTGATCCGGGACCAGGTGCAGGAAGGGTTTCACTAACTATTGGCAAACCACACATGGACCCGTTTTAGGAACAATATGGCCAGGGGCACCAAGGGCCCCAGTTTGGCACTCCCGGTGGGCACAGGGCCACCCCCTCTGCTCCGCTCTCCTCTCCTCCCTGGGCTCCAAACGGGGGCTGCCACCCTGACCGCCTGGGCCCTTGGCGGTCTTCAGGCCCACCTAGGCCAGGCCCTGAGAAGACAACGAGGAGGCGGACGTGTGAGTGAGTTTGGAGAAGTCGCTCTCTTCGAGGCTGCGGCTCCAGGACTCTCCAGCCGGCCGGTCCGTTGGAAAGGCCGGGCAGCAGGGGAGCCGGACATCCCCACTGACCACCCGCCTGGTTTCACCTTCAAGAGCTCCCAGGCAGGCAGAGAGTCTCTCTCTCTCTCTCTCTCTCTGTCTCATGGCGGAAATCTCTGAGGGACATGGGCCTGCCATGCACACAGAGCCCCCCCCCTCAAAAGACACCAAGGGCAGCTCTTCTGCCCCAGAAAGTCTCTTGGGTGGCCAGGGGGCACAGGTGGGCAGTAGCAGCAGAGAGAGGGGCATGACCACCCCTTCCTCCAGGGACCGGGTCCACCCCTGGGGTCCATTTCGTATGGGTGTTGCCCCCTTGTGGCCTCCTGTGGCACTGCTTCCAGCACATCCCTCTCCCTTCCTTCCTGGGCTTCTCCTGGGTTCACTCTCTCCTCCTCCAGCCCCACTTCTTGCCCCATTGACAGGCTCTGGGCCAAGTGACTCGGTTCTCCCCTCCTTTTTCTGGCAGGAGAGTTTCACACTTCAAGGAAAAGGCTGAGGGACTGGGACGAGTCCCTTGCCAACCAGCAAACAGGGGGGAGGGCGACATGTGCCCACCGCAGAGTAAAGAGCAAGCCATGTTTTCCAGGGAGCAAAGAAAGACGCCCGAGGCAAAACCTCACTTCCTTTTGCTGATTGATCCCCATGTCCCTGGGTAGGACTGTTAAAGCGTGGGCTCATGCCCAGCGTGAATTTAAACAACCCATCATTGTGGTGTGGTTTTGTGTGTGTGTGTGTGTGTGTGTGTGTGTGTGTGTGTGTGTGTGTGTGTGAGTGAGTGAGTGAGTGAGAGAGAGAGATGTTTGCAGCTGTCAAGGATGGGGGGGGTCTCCAACCAGCCTGGGACCGGGGCTTCCTTGCCGAGCACCTCCGTTGCATTTGTGACATTCCAGATCTAACCTCTGGCCCTTCTCCCACGAAGCAGAGCAGAGCAGGGGCGAGGGTGGGGGTGGGGGAGGGAAGCCTCGCCCTGCCCCCAAGATACCAGAGGGTGGACCTTGCTGCGAGAAAGGCCACCCCAGCCCCATTCCGGTTAGCAAGAATCTCCCTGGCTCTGAAGTGGAACACAGCACTCCTTTCGCACATGGGTAGAAGGTCCTTCCTGGTTTCAGGCTCCTATGAAAATATCCCAGGCCGCAAATTATGTGGTAGGCCTTCCTCTTCCCAGTCAGTCCAGATGGTGGAGAAAGGAATCAGGAAATATTTAAGATCATTCCCATCATCTGACTCATATTCACATTTACCTGCTTGCTAGCAGTTCACTTTAGAACTGGTTCTTCAAAGCCTCTTTTGAAAACCAGCCAGAACAAGAAGCTAAAATCTCAAAGTGCTGTAGAGCCCTTGATCATGACTTCACACGAAAGGAACTCTGGACTTATCCTGAGCAGAGCCCAGGATCTCACATGAGATGCAAGTGCTGCTGAACTGGCTGGAAAAAGAGACCACAGCCGGATCAAATTTCATTTATTTTATTTATTTATTGGATTTTTACCCCACCCCTCTAGACCATGTCTACTACTATTTCATTGATACCCAAGAGGAAAACAATTGGATTTTGTATTCTCAAAGGCTTTCCTTTGTATTTTACTTCAGGGACCAACTAATTGAAAAAATGGGGGATGGAGAGAAAGGAAATGAAAAGGAAAAGACTGGAGGATGAGATCTCTTGGGTAAAATGCTTGTTGTAGGGGGGAGGTAATAGGTTCTCACATGTCCGTGATTCAGCATCATCCTTGAGGAGAAACTGATTAGAAGATTGTAACCCTCCACCTGCCATACAGGTCACTCTTCTCATTTGTGTGTGAAACTGTGGACCCTCCAAGGAAATTTCCCAATATTCTGAAGTGGCTAAGCTATCTTTTTAAACCTCTTAACAATACTGGGAAATTGAAACCAACTGGCAAATTAAAGGCAGGTGGCCTACCAGGGAAAGCTGGAAGATCTCCTTCATATGAAACAAAGTGGATAGGAAGGTCCACTTTGGTTCATTTCCAACACTCACATGTGCTGGAAACAAACCAAAATAAATCAATGAACACACACACCAAAAACAGAAGGACCCGACAGGGACCCAGAAAAGTACGGGGTAGGAATATTCTGGGGATGTCTCATTCACTCTAGCAATGACATTGTCTGATCGCTAGAAAAAGGAGCAAACCAGCCTGTCCCCACAGCGGACCAAGCAGCAGGACAAAGACCCCTCTGGTTCCACCCTGAGAAGCATCCCAGAGACCTCCTTCTTCTGATCCCATCAGAAGGCCAAGAAGCTGATTTTTTGGGATCTGGGGGTCCTTTTAAAAAATGTACAGGAACTGCCAAACAGAAATTGTGGCTGCTCTGGTTATACCACAATAAAAGGGAGGGGGAAGGAGGGTGGTGTAGATGTGGCCAGATTAGAAGAATAAAACCCAAATTGAAAACCAGGATAAAAAAATGTCAAAGCCGATGCTGATGCTGGCGTCCTTCCTGAGCAAGGGAGGCTCCAAAGGTCAGGCCCATGGAGGTGGATTCCAGAACATGAGAATTCATAAGCCTTTTCCTGGGGTCCCTCCAGCCAGGGAAGGTGTCCGCAAAGAGCTGACAGGCAGGACAGGAAGGAAGGGAAAGAGATCCAGTCTTCTCAAGTGGACGTCTCTCCAATAAGAAGAACAGGGGCTTTGGGTGAGCTTGCATCTGGCTTGGAAACCACGACAGTCACGTTGCCAGCCTGTAACGTGGTTCCACTTGGAAGCAGACAGGCTCTTAGCAAGAAGCGTCCGACGAGTGAAGGTGTCCTAGAGGAACCCCCTCGGCCAAGAGGTCTCAGGGGTGCACCATCAAGGCAGGGCCAGGGGTCGCCCCTCGGCTGTGAGTCCTGTGCCTGCGCCGGAGACCTGACGCAACAAAGGGGCCACTGGGATAGGGGCCGCCAAAGCTGCCTGGCCAGTTTTGCTTTGTGCTTACATTGAGGAAAACCCAAAATCCTCTCCCTTGAGAAAGACACCCCGTAACATTCCAGTGTCCTCCCAGTTGCACAACTTCTCCCAGAGAGAGGCTTTAAAGGCAGGCCCAGGCGAGCTTCGGCACTCAGGATCTTTTGGAAACAGCAGCAGCCGCCGCACCAGCAGCAGCATGAAGGCCCCCGGGCTTCTCCTCCTCCTCTTCCTGGGGCTTCTCGCCATCTGGGCTGAGCTGCCCCCTGCAAGTGGGCAGTCAGGTAAGGAAGGACCCACCAAGCGGCCGACCCAAGGGCCTTGACCGGTGTGGCTACTGTCTTGTGGCGATACCGTAGGAATCCATTTGCCCATGTGAGGCTGCGCTAGTAGTGTGGGCACTTTTACACCCTGAAGAAGGAGGAGAGAGCAGGACAGTGCTTTGCGTAACGTTGCATATGTTGTGAATCAGAATCCTAGAATCTTGAAGTTGGTTGGAAGGGGCCTCAAAAGCCACCTCCCTTTGTTGTTGTCATTGTCGTTGTTGTTGTTGTTGTTGTTGTTCTTGTTGAGTTATTTAGTCGTGACCGACTCTTCGTGTCCCCCTGGACCAGAACATGCCAGGCCCTCCTGTCTTCCACTGCCTCCCGGAGTTCAGTCAAAGTCATGTTGGTCGCTTCGATGACCCTGTCCAACCATCTCGTCCTCTGTCGTCCCTCTTCTCCTCCTGCCTTCACACTTTCCCCACTCTTTTGTTGACTATGAGGGCTACTCCATTCCTTCTACCGGATTATTGCCCACAATAGTAGATGTGATAATCATCTGAATTGAATTCGCCCATTCCTGTCCATTTTAGTTCACGAATGCCCAGGATGTCAACGTTGATTCTTGCCATCACCTGTTTGACCACCTCCAGCTTCCCGAGGTTCATTGATCTTACGTACATTCGCAACCCCTGCAGGAACCCAAATCCAAGCAGATCTGCCCCGATGGCTGTCTCAATGTCTCCTGAATGCCTCCAGCGTTGGAGCGCTCCGCACCTCCTGAGGTCATCACTGGTCCCATTGCCCTCCTGCTCTAACAGTTACGCCTATTGTTTATGCAAAATAAGATGTGCTTTTTGCAACTGAAACAGAACTCGGAGCATTTCACAGAACAGGGGCAGAGTCTGTGCCCAGGCCACGTGTCTGTCCGCTGCTGCGCTTGCTGCCCAGAGGCCGCCTGCTCCCTGGGGGATGACGGGGGGGGGACTTCGGTGTCTCTGGTGCTCCTCCTTGTCATAGACCTTGAAGTCACAGGCAGGCTGGGGCCAAACCCTCAAAGGGAGGAGGCCTCCCAAGAGAGGTGGACAACGGTCCCTCGGCCCCTCTTCAAAGGCGAGGCCAGCTCTCTACCAAAGGAGGAGGCAGCTGCCTTGGCCCCAAGGGAAGGACGTGGGAACGCACTCCATCCTGCATTCCCTCCCCTCCTCTGCTACAAAAATAAAGGATTGATTCTGACTGTACTGTCTGTTGATTCTACCTGCGCACCTGCTACAGGATTGCGCAGGAGAGCCATTCCTTCCACACCCAGGGCTGGATGTAACCCCTGGCCATGTCAGAGGGGAAGACGCAGCGTGTGAGGCCTCCATACAGCAGCAACCACAGTGCTGTCAGTCCCACCTGCCCTCCAGAGCCCTCTCCCCATAAGTGAAGGGCCAACTCTGGCCTGCCCCTCTCCTCCAGGCCTGCCCCTTCCTCTCTCTCTCTCTCTCCTGCTCCGCAGAGATCTGCCGGCTCCCCAAAGAGGTGGGCCCCTGCCTGGCCGCCTTCAGCCGCTGGTTCTACAACGGGCAGACCCAGAAGTGCGAGGCCTTCACCTACGGAGGTTGCCAAGGAAACGCCAACAACTTCAAGACCCTGGAAGAGTGCCAGAAAAAATGCGGTGAGATGAGATTCAGGGAGAAAGCCTGGCCACCCCCGGGAGGCAGGGCAGGCGGGAGGGAGGCTGGCAGAGCACGGCATGGCATCGGATGGGCTTTGCTTGGCCAAGTGCTGGAAAGGACAGGAGCCCTCATCGGACAGATCGGGAAGGTTCCAGACAGAAGAAAGTTGTCCCGGGAAGAGAACAAAGGCACATTTTTGCAACAAAACAGAGAGAGAGAGTGAGAGAGAGAGAGTTGGGTATTCTGTGGCTAAACCCCTTCCACTGGTGTTACATGTGTTAAATATTTCTCCTTTAATTATGAGGTCTCAGGCGCATAGGATGCAGATGGTTACTGTCAGGTTACTTCATCTGCAGTTTATTTCAGGACTTCCTAACCAAAACCCCTTTGAGATGACAGAAAACCATTCATTCATTTATTTTTACCCCAACTTTCTCCTTAAGAGGACCCAAGGAGGGTTACAACAATGAAAAGACATTTAAAAGCTAAAAACAGTGAGCATGCAAATATTAAAAAAGAATTAAACAAGCATTACATTTTTCGAAGTCCACAAAATCAATACAATAAACACATTTAAAAACAACCGAGAACAATCCACCCCCCCCCCCCCGCGCTTTACTCTGAAGTCTCTCCTGCGGCTTGACCTTGATGTGGAAGCCAGCTTGGCTCCCTCCGCCCCTCCGCCCTGGGTGCCTCCCGAGGAGGGGCCGAGGCCCCCGTGGGCCTGGGATCGGTGTGGAAGCACAGCCCGGAGGGGGGGGAACAGGACGGTTCCCACCCATTCCAGCCCAAGGAAAGGGACTTGGAGCAGTGTTTGCGGTCCAGGCAGTACCCAGGTCACCAGGGTAATGGAGTAACAAGTCCATGGCCGGTTCGCCCTCTTTCTCCCCTGAGCTCCCACCTGGTTCAGAGTGAGAAAGAGGCCGGCAAATGTTTGTCAGGAACGGCACCGTCTCTTTCTACCCCACTTTCTTTTGGGCTCCTCTGGAGCTGGAACAGCAGGACGGGTCCTCCTGGCCTGTGTGTAGCTTGGTAGGAGAGGCGAGGAGGGGGGGCAACTCCCCCACCCAGACAGGTGAGCCTCAAGGGCTAGTAGAAGCCCCCTGGGGCAGGAAGCCAAGGCAAGATCCATCTACCTGGGCGGCTGAGAGTTAGAGGCTGCAGAGAGCCTGGCCCTCCCGGCCAGCCAGTCTGCCCTTACGCAGCAAAACCAAACAAGACTCTCTCACAGCAGCAGAGAGACCCGCAAATTTGACTTGTGCGGGCATCTGTGGACGGCAGGCCACTCCTTAAAGCGCACTGATGGTACCTGTGTGGACATATAACTGGCACACCCACAGGGAGGGGCTGTGGTGCGTAATTCCTCTGTAGCACCCATGCATTGTAGCCCGTTGAATTGCATGGGGTGGGGAATGAAGAAGGGCCACGCTTGTGGCAGTAGAAGAATTGTCTGCTCTCATGGCTACTCAGAGAGACATGCATGCACCCTGCTTGATGCATGCAACGTTTTGCATGCAGTAAAGGGTGCAGGTTAACCCCTCGCAGACTCGCTGCAGTGTGCCAAGAGGGACTCGTCTGTGATCCGCTCCCATTACAGCTGACAGAGATGCCCTGCCCAGGGGTGGGGGGGAGGCTCTTGTCCATACCCAGTCAGGAATGTCAAAGGCATGCTCTGCCGTGAGCACAGTGTGTGGAGGAAGGTGGACAGCCCTCGTTCCTGCGCCCGTGATTTCTTCCGCAGGAGAGCCTTTGTGTGTCGAGCCGGCGATTCCCGGGCATCTGGAAGGAGCTCCAGGCTGACGGCTGCCTTCTTTTTCTCTCCTAGGGTCTCGCTGATGGGGTCACAGAAGGAAGGAGGAGCTGCTCCATCAGACTCCTGGCCCCGCTTCTCACTTGGCTGCCTTCCAAGTTGGAACTGCCGGCTTCAGTGTCCCCAATGCAGTTTTTGAATAAATGGCATCACACAACAACAACAAATTGCCTGAGCTTCCCAGTAACACAAGACTCTCGGCCTGATCCTGCAAAGGATAAAGGGGAGGAAAGGGTTAGGGTTGGGAACAGTATGGGAAACCAGGGGTGTGAGGGGTACACAGCCCTTCAACCACCAAGGCAACTGGTTCTGATGCTGCTCCAAGGGCCAGGTGGATAAAGGGGTGGGTGCGTCAAAATCTGAGCAGTTTCCCGGTTAGCAGCATCTCAGACATGCTCCACGGCATTTGCTATCTAGACAGGGCACCCTACAAGGCCCACAGGAAGCAAGACATGGTTCACCTGCCACATCCATGCGTAGCAGAGTCATGGGGCAACACTAGCCCTCACACACAAAAAGGTGGACATTCAAGTGACTTGGAGGAAAAGGCCTCTGGCCAATAAACCGCAAGGGAAGTACTTCCTGAAAAGCCACATCTGCCCTGCAAAGTCAGCGGTAGGCTGCAAAGCTGCCTGTCCCTTCACCTTCTGGCCCTCTGTCTCAGGACACCTCGGGGGCCATTCTGGAGGAGCGGACTCCCAAATCCTCCCTGCTGCTTCCACGGCTTCTTCTGCAGAAGACGAAACCCACCACTCACTGGGGACGTCTGTCCTCCTGATGGGTCTTCCCTTGCCCTTCTGCCGTAGACCACAGGTCCAGAGGGCTCCATGGTCTTGAGCATGGCAAGAAGATCCTCGGGCAATGGGGAAGGCAGAGCAATACAGGGGGGAGGAAGGGGCTCAGCCGCAGTTGGCTATTGGGGAGGTAGGAGACTGACGTGCTGTCCCGCAGGCTAGGAGGGAAGTGCTGGCGAAGGGGGAAGCCGTTGCCTTCTTTGAGCTTCTGGCCTTTTTCATCTGCCTCCAGGCAGGTAGGTCTGTGGGTCTCTTCTCCGCTTTGCTGGGGCATGGGCAACGAAGCCAACAGTGCGTGAGTGCCAAGGGGCATTACCGAATGAAGGACACCTGACTTTGGAACCCCCACTGTCCCGGTCTCCCCAACACCTGGGGCAGGAGTCCCACCAAGCCCTCTTGAAAAAGCTGCTGCTCCTCCCAGGGTTGACTCTTGCCTTCTGCAACCAACACAGCCAGGGAGCACTTGGCCGTCTGCCCTTGAGGGGACATTGCTGCACTCGAAAGAGACTGAGCCACATCTTCTCCGCTTGACAGACAGATGGAATTGGGGGCGGGGGTTTGCTGGATTGTCCCCCAAGTGTCCTCTACCCTTATTCAGATGCCAGAAATCTCTCAGTGGGGAAAGTAAAATGAGAAGTCGTGGAGAAAGAAGTTCCGCAACGGTTCCCTTTGCAGGTGAAACCGGCAAAACACGGCAAGTAGGCTGAAAGTGTAGCTGTGTGTGTGGAAGGCTGGAGGGCTCCGGGGCAGCTCTGATGCCTGTTTTGGGGGGTCCTCCTGCTTCCTCTCTGCATTTATTAATAAAGCAATGTTGTTAAGACACCAGGAACCACCTGGACCTGGACCTGAAGGAGGCAAATCTTATTTCTAATCTTATTAATAGTGTCACAAGCTTGGTAGATTGGGGGGGGGATGCTTGAGGAGGTGTTGCATCTCAGTTTTAGCAAGAGTTTTTACAAGGTCCCTCATGGTGTCCTTTGGACAAGCTGGTAAAATGTGGACTAGATAATGATGATGATATGGCGGGGTGGATTTGTAGCTGGTTGATAGTCTGCACGCCAAGAGAGATGCCCTGTGGCTCCTTCTCATCCTGGAGAGAAAGGACAAGAGGGACGCCCATGAGCCACACCCAGGTCGTACACCCTCTTTCTAGCAAGGGCTCGGATGGGGCGTGGGGAGGCCCTCAAGCTTTCGGGTGACACTCCACTTGAAGAGGCAGCAAATTCTTTTGGTTTTTGACTTTATTCCACATCGACAAGAGTGCCTTCCTTAGTATATGGTTGTTGAATTGTTTGAAGTCTTCTGTTCTGTTGTACCACACGAATGCATGCCAGCCCCATTTCATAATGTATCCTTCTAGTTTCAGGAGTCTCGTGTTTTCCAATGTAATCCACTCCTTAATCCTTACCAATGCAGGTGCCCTGTAATAGAGAAGCCAATTCGGAAGCCCCATTCCTCCTCTTATTTTTTGGGTTTGCAGGTGTTTAATTTTAATTTTGGGTTTTTTCTTCTGCCAGAGGAAAAGGGCAGAATGCAAGTTGGTCCTGAGAGACTGGAGAACTGAGCAAAAAAAGGGGGGGGGAATGTCTCTAAAAAGCAAAAGTCCTTCACTCCTGCGAGTAAAACGAGAGGCACAAATACAAGAAGGGTCACCGCTGGCTCGGCAGGATTCCCTGTGAAAGGGATCCGGGAGTCTCCTGAAAGCGTGAGATAACACAAGTCAGCTGTCCTGTGGTCAGACTTCCACTGGAATCCTGCCTCCCGTTCTGGGGATCACAATTCAAGAAGAATCTTGACAAGCTGGAGTCTGTCCAGAGAAGGATGGAACATCGGATCTCCAAGCCCTGTCTCAGAATCACACAGTCTCAGAATCATGGTGAAAGGGAGAAACGAAAAGAGGCTCAAGACAAATTGCAGACCTCACTGCGGTAGTTGAAAACCTCATTGCAATCAGGAAGGGGCCTCAAAGGCCATCCAGTCCAACCCCTTGGCTCAGGGCAGGAATCCCTGTCTAAGCAGATCTGAGGGATAGTGGATCAGGTTCTTACACTTGCAGCTTCATCCCCCAGTTGTGAAGTCATGCTATGATTGTAATATAAGATGATTTTTTTATTAATACGACATAAACCTACTACCACACAAAAAAACTGCACTTGCAGCTTCATCCCCCAGTTGTGAAAGTCATGCTATGATTGTAATATAACAAGAAATAAGGTCACCTCTTTTGCAACACAACTTTCAGGGTCAATGGCTATTATGATCATTACCAAGGGTGAGGCTGGACTGCTGATTTTACTTATTTATTTATTTACTTATTTATTTATTTATTTAATTTATATGCTGCCCACTCTACCCAAAGGTCTCTGGGCGGCTTACAACAATTAAAAATCAGTTACGAAATACATATTCCAAAAATATATTCCATATTTTCTTAAAGTCATTATTTTTCAATTGGCCTCTTCTTATTTTCATATCAAATGTCAGTTTATCATTAATTGCCATATCCCATAATTCTCTATACCATTCCTCTAAGTTAAATTGATTATCATTTCTCCAGTTTCTTGCAAAAATTAACCTTTCAGATATTCAGTTTTTGTAAAGGAACAGGCGGAAGCTCGTGGTGGTTTCCCCAAGCCAGCTGCTCAAGGGCACTTTCCTGGGGTGACCCACCTTGTGGGTGTATAACTTGGATGCCTGAAACCCAATCGACACCAAACTTAGCAGGGTTTGTAGATGAAGAATCAGTAGAAGATTCTCTGTCATTTTGGGGTCTCTAGGTTCCTGAGGCGTCGGGAACCTTGTGGGTGTCTAACTTGAACCTCCGAAAACCAAACTTCACCAGACCTGCAGGGTTTGTAGAAGAGAGTCCGAGAAAGCGTTCCTGCAAATTTGGTTTCTCTAAGTACTTGGGGGGGGGGAGGCATTTTATAAAGCAAAGAAGTGTGCTGCTTATATACCACCCCATAGCACTTCAAGCACTCTCTGGGCAATGTATTCACGAAGGCTTTCACGGGTGAGATCTAATGGTTGTTGTGGGTTTTTCGGACTCTTTGGCCGTGTCCTGAAGGTTGTTCTTCCTAACATTTCGCCAGT